GGGTAATCGGGATGGGTGTGTCAGAGGCAGTGCGGTTGGCGCAGGATAGAGCAGGGTTTAGGGCTGTTGTGCATAGGGTAGCTATGAGTCTAAAACGACTTGACAGCACATAACAACAACAACAACTTATTTAGTAACTCCTTTTAAGAAAACAGGTTAATATAGCAAGCATAGCTAAAAACAGATTCTCCGAGGACATTTACTGCCTGTATTCTTAATCCCATTTCCCCTTCCGCTATCAGCTTCTTTATCTGGCCCCAAGTCAGAGTCTCTGCTTTCCTGATATCTGGTAGCAGTCTTCTCTTTTGTAGTTGCTCTAAGGTCATCAGACTCATCCTTTCCACAATTCTGTCTTCATCCAAGTATGGCTTCTTTCGGTTTATCTCAGAGTTTAATGTTCCTGGATGGTACCCACAGCGTTTCTGTGCCTGGAGAAATAATAAGCAAATCTTCGACCCTAATGAAGGACAAATCCCTTTTTCTATTTGTTAGAAGTTCTCTAAAATATATATGTGCTGATTAGCTCTTTGATTAATTGTACTACTCAATGTCTTTAGGCTGGAGTTTCTCTTTTCTCACTGTTGTTAAGTGCTGTCGAGTCATCTACGACTCATTAGAATTTTAAAAAAAATTTAAAGTAAATAATGGTTTTAGTAAAATAATTTGAGGAGATGTTTTTCGTCCTATCTCATCTCCCCCCTTTTTGTTTTTTCAGCATAATTTGTGAAGTCCAATTAGCCCTTTTTATTATAGCTTTCCTTTGGAGAGTATTAGGAATGCTAGTAATATGTTTAATGTTTTCCTTTTTTGAAAAATACTTGTTTATCTTGCAATAACATAATAATAACATATTCAGCCTGTTGAACAGAAGTCAAATTAGTTTTAACTACTTTATTATTTTACCATTAATATAACCTGTATATATCATCTTGTTAGTATCTGTGTAATAAGTATTAGCTGTAAGGGGATAAGTTTTCACCTTTCTCAGAGAATTCAGTTCTTTTAATTAATTGTAATTATTTCTTTTGCAGACATGAATTAGAAATCTTACCTGTATAATTAGAAAAAGCAGTTTGTCAATTTTCAGAAATTTTCCATTAAGTTATTAATTTGGGAAGTAGTAAATAGAACTATAATTTCCTTTAATAATTAAATAAAAATTTTTTTCTCAATATAAGTAACTAGTTTTTTTATTAAACTTATTCCCCCAAAACAGTCATTCTAATATGTTTTCTTCTTAATAATACACCAATAGGAGAATGTAGAGAATCAATAATTATTAATATAACAGACTTTTTCATGTCTATATGACTTAACTGGGCATCATTAATTCTTTGTTCTATAATTTGTAGTTCTTTTTCCTTTGTTAAGGGCCACTATTAAACCCATATCAGCTTATCAGTTAGCCAAGTTAATGGAAGGGCAAAACATAGAACAGTGGTTTTTATTATATATTTGAATAGCCTAATCCTCTTATACTATGATTAACTTTTGGTTCTTTGAAGCAGACCATCCCTTGTTTCTTTCCTAATCCCTTACCAGGGAGATAGTTTATGTTTAACATCATATTCTTAGCCTGCTCTGATATTATAAGAATTTGCAAAGTGGCACCCCACTGAGACAGCTAATCTCTTCCCTATAATGTAACTGCAATATGTGCAATGAAAGGCTGTAATTTTGCTCTCTGTCCTCCAGATCCTTTACATTCTAACATATATTCATTTTGTTTTATTCCTGTCATAGTCCCGATTCCTGTAAAAGTAACAGAGACATCCTTTATTTGCAAATCACTAGGCCAATAATGAGTAGCAATAATAGATACATCAGTGCCAGTACCAATTAATCCTTGAATTTCCTATCCTAATTTTACAGTCATTTGAGGATGGGTATCATAAATGATAGTACTCCAATAGATATTAGTCCCAGTACTGCCAAACTCTCCTTGTCTTTTTATTGGAGCTGCGCTTTGTTTTATATAAAGCAGGAGCAATAATTGAGCTATTCTCTGGCCTTTTAACAAGGTTGGATGTTGTCAAGTAGACATCATTGTAATTATTTCCCCATTATAATTGGGATATGTTACTCCAATATGTACAAATATTCCTTTACTTATTAAACTAGTTCTTACTAGAATCAGTCTTACAGTATTTTAGAGATCTTATTCCCATGGGACAGCCTCTGCCCACTGGATATTGAAGACAACTCTCTTTGTTTTAAAGCCTTTAGTTTCTTTCTTGTTAGGGCCACTGCTCTGCCCTGTGCCTGTTCTCAGAGGTATCTCTCTATTATAATGAACATGGCACTTAAGCTTAGGGAAAAACTGCTTTGTTTCTTAGCACTTTAGAAAGTCTAACTTTGTGGATTTCACAGGTAGTCAGTCAAAAGTATTTGACTTTTATGACACATCTTTTTATAGTTTTTTTTTTCTTTACATTTACCCTGAGAACCAAATTACATTTTCTTTCTTACCTGTTTCTAAACTTTTAGATCACATTATCTGTGCAGTTTCTAATTTATTTATTTATCCTCACTCTGTTACGTACTTTGTGGCCTTTTTTAATCTTCTAAATTAAGAGTTTTCTTTTATGTAAGCTTCATATATTTTTTACTTTTCTTATTTTACCAAAATTATCAGATTATATAAGCTCAAAACTATTAGCACATTAAACTTAAGACAAAAACCAAACAAAGAAACAACAAACTTAATCAAAACACAAAACAATCAACAAAAATACTTATAGGCTTCTGCTTTGAGATTTAGCATTTTTTTTCCCCTTTCTTTTTTCTTTTTCTAAACCAATTTTAAATTGTAAATAATTTCCCAGGAAGAGCACTGTTGGGTCAATGCATGCCAATTAAGAGAAAATAATAATTTAGGATTGAGTTTTCCTAAGGCTCTTTCTAAAGGTGACAAAGGCTGTTTCTTGCCTTAAGTTTTAACCTTCTTTAATCTAATATCACTTAACTCATATTCATGCAAAGATTCAACCATCTCTCTTGACAAAATTTTTTTATTATGTGTACAATCCTGCATGGACAGCGTTCCGATTCTTATCAAAGCCAATACTAGCCAGAAAGCAATAGGAATTTGTTCTTTTTGATGTGCTCTTTATAAATCTCTTATAACATTATGCCAAGTTTTAAAATTCAGTTGAGATCTACTGGCTGGTTGAAACCAGCAACAATGTTTTTTAATACAATTTAAACAACTGCAGAAAAGATTTTTCTTTCACTTTTCCCCTGAGCTCTTAAGCAGCTCCTTTAAGAGAGACATATATTGAGCTTTAGAGGATGGCGTGTACCCCATGGCTTTTTTTTTTAAAGCAATTTTCTTTAGAGGTTGGGGAAAGTCCCCATGAAAATTTATTCTAATTCTTCCCTTACGAAGGGATGAGGAAATCAATCCTCATGAAACTTTTTCTAACACTGCCCTTAATTTCCAAGGGTGAGGGAACCCTCATGACTCTGCCTGAAGAAAATTTTCCTGAAAGACTTCACTTACCTTTCGGTTTCCCCATGCCTGAGAGAGAGAGGGACTGCTGCTTCTTTCAGGTTCCTCCCTGTTCAGAGCGCCAGCTGTTGCAAACCGGATGCAGAGAGAAAGCAGGGACATGGGGAAATGAGATCTGAAAAAGAGGGAAGGCTAAGGCAGAGCTCCTCTCTCAGCTTAACACTGTGAAAAAGGCCCCTGTCTTAGTCTTCTCTGGTTTTTATTTAGTTTAGGCCAGTCATCCTCAAAAAGGTTCAATCTCAGACACGGTGTCCCCTCAGGTGGGAGGCTGGGTGGAAATCTCTGTTTGCAGAGGGCATCCAGTATCTCCTGGGGGGGGGGGCTGGGCGGAATTCTCCCTTTGCAGAGGGTGCTCGTCCTGTCTGGACTCTGACCTCAGCTGTGGCCCTGCTGTCACTATGCTGGGGAAACACACCTAGGCAGTAATAATGACATTCTAACTGTAAAATTACAGGGTGCTTATTAGTGTGGGAATGTCAATATGGTACTGTAATTCATTGATTCTTAATAAAGCTAATAAGACTGATATTATTAAGGAATATGTCTCAGTCATTTCATATAATTTTTGTTTTGTTTTAGGTAAACAACTAAGATTGGAAATCATTTTCACCTTGCCCAAGATTCCACCTTTTCTCCTTGTGAATTCTGGATGAATCTGACTCTTCAATGAATCTGGCAAATCCTGGGGAGTAGAAATGGCACCAATCAGACTAGAGCTCAGAAGGAAGAATTTTCCTCTACTAAAGAGGAAGAGTTTTTTGCTGGTGAAACTCATAGCTGTTGCCTTTGCTATCTTCGTATTTTGTGAATTTTTAATCTATTACTTAGTGATCTTCCAGTGTAACTGGCCCGAGTTGAAAACCCCGGTACATGATAAGGGTCAATGGATTCCTGAGCCTGTGTTGAAAGCCATGTTCTTGGCAGATACCCACTTGCTTGGGGAAGTGAGAGGCCACTGGCTGGACAAGTTACGAAGGTAGGAACTAAAGCCAGGAACCCTTCCTTAAGTCAGCTTGCTGCCTTCAGGCACTTGTTATTTTCCTCTCAAAGAAGACATCTAGAGTATTTGATTTTTCCTTGACCTTCATAAGTTTACGGATTAGCTTTGTGCTATAGAGAAACCATGAGAAGTTCTTTGAGCCTCTGTTTGAATTCACATGTCCAGCTTCGTAGTGGTGAAGTGAGGGGTGTGCCCAGCTCAGCGGTACTCACTGAAGGTGGGCACCCCTTCCCTGGGCAGGGCTGATGGCTCTTCGCACCTTCATGAGGGCGCAGCATTGAGTTCACTTGGTTTTGCCCTCTGAGTGGGAGAGAGAGCAGAAGCAGGTTGTGACTTTCACACTGGGGAGGGGTCAAGTCTTGCTTCTCCAGTCCACTTCTAACTAACATGTGGTTAGGTTGCTGGAGAGTCTACAAGACTTAAAGGGACCTGTAAGACAAATTTGAGCTGCCCCTTAGGATTCTCTAGACTGTAATCGTTGCTGGATCAGATCACCAGGTCTTCTGTCCCACAGAGCTACTAGGTGAATGTGAACCACTGTTGTTAGCAAACCTGTGTACCACAGAATGAAACACTATGCTGTGCACAGTGTAGCACCTCTGTGTCAGTCCTTCACATTGACAGTCTTCCTCTTTTCTCACCCTGCTTCAACAAGCATGACAGGCCTCTTCTTTGTGAAATGAAGTCTCCCCATCTTTACTTCCCCATCTTTGCTTCTGTATTTCTTTCCTCTTTGTGCAGGGCAAGCATCCAGAAGTGTGCCTCAAAGGAGAAGCGGACACAACTGGGGGCACTAAGAGGGGTGTGGATCAGGCTTGCCAGGAGTGAGGGTAGTGGCGTCTTGAGATCTTTTGCCAGGCACTTTACCCACATTGTCATCTTTGGTCCACAAACTGCCTGTGGATATAGAGAGAGCCAGCAGCTTTCTCAAGGCCATATAGTTAGGTCCACAGCCTGAAGCCATTGTGGATAGATTCAAAGTCTAGAGCTCTTTCCATTTGTCTTACCTTCAGGGTGATGGCTGGTGCATGTGACACCTACACAGTTTGCTGTTGGACCTCTGCTGGTGTAGTCCATAGTGAGCTGAGCTGCTAACACAAAGGCCATGCCTCTCAGGAGTTCTGAATCCACCAACAGCTCTGCAGTAGAAGGATGAATGACTGCCTCCCATGCTATTTATGGTTACAGGAACCTGATGACACCTCAGTTATGTGTTGGTTTCAACTTCATGGCAATGAGTTTTTGGGCTAATTTCTTTCCTCAGCTCTCTCAGCTTTGAAACAGGAAGTGAAGACCCCTTCTAGATATAAGACATTAGCCAGATTCTCTTCTGTTCCGGGTGGCACAGTGCTGGGCCAGACTGGAGTTATCTAGCACATTTTTGGAGATTGAATTCTACTCACTCAATCCATTAATATTCTCCTGACCACTTCAAGGAAATGTGGGAGGAAGGTAATGTGAGCTGTGGAAGCCTCCCTTCATCCCTTACCCAACTCTTTCAGGACCTTTATCCTTTTTATATTTCTCAAGCAGTACAGGGAGCTCTGGTGGCCTAGTGGTAAGAAGCTGCATTGCAATTCCAAAAGCATGCTGTTTGAATCCTGAGCTGCTCTGTGGGAGGATGGGTAATCTCTTCCTCTGCAGTTTACTGACCCACTGGAAGGTTAGTGATGGGTAGGTTCCAGGTTGATAGTACGCAACAAGAACAGGGAATGGAAGAATAGAATCAGTTAGTGTACTTTTTAAATGGCTCTTAAGTTAAAAAGACCTCTTCCAAGAAGAGGAGGAAGATCTTCAGTGAGCTGAATCGGCAACAGTGGGCTTGATCACAACTGAGACCATGAAGTGGGCAGTGAGGACAGGTAGCCTTTTGTTCTAGTCTACCAGGGTCTCTTTGAGTTAGTGTGAACTTGATGGCACCTAACAATCACAGAGAGATGGAGGAGTCCTTGGTGGGCAAAATTGAGCTCTTGACTACTAGCTCAAAAGTTGGTGGTTTGAAACCTCCTCGAAGCACCTCAGAAGAGCAAGCCTTGGCAGTAACAATTCACAGCTTCTGGACCCTCTGGAATATAGATCTGTTCTTGGCTCAGAAGCAATTAATTTGGTTTTGATTTTCCACCCAAGAAACAGACTAAATCCTTGTTTTTTATCATTCACCTCAAGGGAATGGCAGATGGAGAGAGCCTTCCAGACGGCTTTGTGGTGGTTGCAGCCGGAAGTGGTCTTTATTCTGGGTGATGTATTCGATGAAGGGAAGTGGAGCTCGTCTCAGGTAGGACATTCTAGCTCTGCTCCAGATGCTCAGCACATGCTCTGGACACCCATAAAACAGCACCAGCTCCTCATGCTAGTTTTATCTAGTACTGGTAGTTCACATGGATCGTCTTCCTTGAACACTTGCAGGGCCTGTGTCTGGGCTGGCCTCTTATTTAAGAAATGTGTTAGGGAGCTCTGGTGGCCTAGAGGCAAGAAGCTGCACTGCAATCCCAGAGGTGTGTGGTTTGAATTCACCAGATGCTCTGTTGGAGAAGGAGGGACAGTCTCCTCCTGTACCAATCAGATCTGATTTGACGGCACACACACATAAAGTAAAAAAAAAAGAAATGTGTTGGCTAGCAGACATCACCGGGACATTGGGATGTACCTTCTAGTGAAACTCTTGGGAACAGAAAACCAGTCATGATGAATGCAATTGCAGTTGTAACCAAAATGAGAGACTCCACGAAGTTCACATTCCATTTCATACTCTCTGTTTTAATATTAAATTATGGGACTAGTGTGACAAAAGTGACTGGCTTCTCTCTTGTTACTTTCTGCCTTTTTGAGAGAGAAGTTTGGTGTCAATTCATCTGTCTTTAAGGGGCTGCAGTCCCTTTTTGGGTGTCATGGAAATGTGAGTCAGTGCACAAACTGCAGAGAAAAGGTGGTTCTCCCTTCATTGTCAGGATGTGCTAGCTCATTACCTATCCGTAATGAATGAGAAAAATAGCACTTCTTAGGGAATTCTGGTGGTTTAGTGGCAAGAAGCTGCTCTGTAATCCCAAAGGCACGCAGTTCAAATCTACCACTTGTTCCATGGGGGAAGAATAGGCAATCTCCTCCCGTGTGATTAACTGTGTCTGCAAACCTGCTGAAGCGTCAACTGTGGGTCAATTTGGACTCGATGGTACACAACAATAGCAACAACTGCTTAGGTAAAAATGTTCCGCTGCTTATGGTTTGGAGAAGGTATTGTTAAATTTTTTTTTTTTTTTTACATTCCCTGGAATAATTCAAAAGCTGTATAAATAAAGTCTTGATATGATAAGAATCTACTAACTTACAGGCTTGCAGTATTTGTTAAAATATGGGCAGTAATTAAATATGATGTAATGGAAATCCTAAATATAAGAACTGGTTGCAAAATGAGGTGGGATACCTGTATCGGTTTTTTAACATAAGAGCTTTTACAAAATTTATGTTATTCTAATTTTAAGTACTGTTTATTAGAGTGAAGTCTTATGCATTCATTGAAGGTCTTTCTACCCAGAATGTTTCTCTAGATTGTGACATATTTAAAACTTCTAGGATGAAATGATTTACTATGCAGAATATAGGTTGATTATCTACCTTAGGATATTTATCTAGTTATCACTTTCAGACTTAATAAAATAGGACTTACACAATCCTCAAACTTTGACAGTTTGTGAAAGTATCAGAGAATCTTAAAGTATTTGTTGTCTTTACTTACCTTCTTTTCTTTCTTCTCTGCCCATCTCACCAGTTCACATGTCCACAGTTGTACCCACAAAGGGAATATGGGGCTGAAGGACAGTATTGTCCTTGTCTTGGTCTTTGTTAGGTTAGCAGACTTAAAGAAGAAATCAGAGAGAATGAGAGAAAGCTTTATGCAGCTTTATTAAAGGGACAAAGGGGAGCTCCTGGGTGAGTTCCTCATCCTGGAGAGGCAGAATGGGAAGTCACACCATGAACTTAACTGGGGAAGATTTTTATAAACAGAGTCTTTAGGGAGGGACATTCCATTCTGATTTACAAGCCACCTCCTAGCTCAGCCAGGCAAGCAAGACTGTTTTCTCTTCTTAGCAGCATCAGGCAAGGCCATCTGCATTTGAGTTCTGAATTCTTCTTTCTTCTCTTTGGCCCCTTTTGCCCAGACTAACATCTCAGACTCTTTTTAGTGATAAAAGAGGGCAACGTATTTTTCTTTTGCTACTTTCTGCTGAACGGGGTGACGATCTGGGGGTTCAGAGCCTGGAGCAAGTTAGTCTGGGATTAGTGGTCAGGGGAGAATTAAGGAGGTCATCTTCTTGTTTCTGTGAAGTAAGAACTTAAAGAGACATGAAGCAATTAATAACAGTATGCTTATGATTACTATTGGTCTGAGAGAAGGAAAATTTAAGTTAGAAATGAGTTTTTTAGTTAATTTGGGAGAAGGCTTGTGGTTGAATTCTGTATAGAGTCTTATTACACTAAAGGTGTTGTCCTGGTTCAGCTACAGTGTGCTTGTTTATGCTGGCATTGTGTATACAGTTCTCTTGTTCCACTACAGAGGGTTAGTGTTCTTATCAGGCTTTGGTTTTCAGAAGGGAATGTGTACTTGAATGATGAAACACTCAGTTTGGGCTGATGGAATGGCTTGAGGTGTTTTGGTAGAGTGTGGTCTAGAGAAATTGATTGGTACTGCTGCTAGCAAAGGTTGTTGTAAATAGGCACACAGGACACAATACGAAAGGTTGGTTGCTATTTGACTTTGGTTAAGGAATAGTAAGGTGCATGTTCTCTGGATAATTTGGAACTAAGTTGGAGCCTGTATAGTTTGTGGTTTTCCAGAGTCTTGTTGTATTATTGTCTGCTAGCTTGGAGAAACTTGCTCGCTGAAACTGAGGAGGACCTCATGCACTTACTGCAGAGGGTCAAGCACTGCAGCCTTAAGTATGGACTGAGGCTCAATGTCAAGAAGACAAAGTTTCTCACCACTGGACCAATTGGCAGCATCAGGATGGATGGCGAAGAGATTGAGATTATTCACAGCTTCAGTTTGCTCGGCTCCACAGTTAACTCTCTTTGGCACCAGCAGCCAGGAAATCAAAAAACGTATTGTGATGGGAAAGTCTGCTGTTAGGGACCTCTCTAAAGTACTCAAGAGCAACGGTGTCTCTTTGGAGACTAAGGTGTGCCTGATACAGGCCATGGTCTTTGCAATCACTTGTTATGCATCAGAGAGCTGGACAATGACTAGGGAGGACAGAAGGAGAATTGACACCTTTGAGCTGTGGTGCTGTAGAAGAGTATTGAATGTACCATGGACTGCCAAGAAAACAAACAGATTCATCCTAAAGAGGGCTAAACCAGGCTACCCCTTGGAGGCAAAGATTCTGGGGCTTCGTCTGACATACTTCAGACATGTTGCAAGGAGAGACAGTTCTTTGGAGAGGGTCATCATGCTTGGGAGGGTGGAGGGACAGCGCAGGAGGGAAAGACCCTCTATGAGATGGATTGATTCGGTGACTGGGGTAATCAGGATGGGTGTGTCAGAGGCAGTGCGGTTGGCACAGGATAGAGCAGGGTTTAGGTCTGTTGTGCATAAGGTCGCTATGAGTCACAAACGACTCGATGGCACATAACAACAAGCTTGGAGAATGTCATTTGAGACTTTTACTTGGTTATTGGCATCTAGAGCGTAGGACATTTGCTCAGTGAGGGAAATATATTTGACTTGAGAAAGGTGGTGTCAATAGGGGTCACCCATCACCTTAATAGCTGTGGGAGTGGTCAGGGTGACTGCTCAAGGCCTCCTTTGGTATGGTAGGACTTGGGTGCATGCTGTTTGGTGAGAATGTCATTTCTTGAAGTGACTTTAGTGGCTTGGTCCTTCAGAGGAGAGTCTGGGTATACAAGTGTGAGTGTTTTTCAGAGCATTTGTTTAAGGAGGGAGAGACAAGGCACGATGCTAAAAGAGGCTTGGCAAGCAAGTTACGGTTTAGCAGAAGTAGTTGGCTGCACATCAACCGGAAGGAGTTTAGAAAGGAAGGTGAACAGAGTGTTGTTCAGATACAGGCTAAGGCAATAGGAGGTAAGTTAAGACCTGTGTAACTTGAGAGTCAGTTTAGTAAGATAGGACTTAATGAGTCTATTTATGTGCTTTGTTTTGCCTGAAGACTGGGAGTATGTACTGGTATGTACAGCTTATAGCAGATACTTAAACTAGATGATACCTGCTGGATGTCTTTGGAGATGAAGCTAGGAGCATTGTCTGCTTGTATTGAAGTAGTAAAGTTTACCTGGGGATGATATGCTGCAGTGAGGCTTAGGTAGGCTCAGAGTTTAATTTATTAGATTTAAGAGTCAGGTCTCTTTCTTTCTCTTGATTTCTTTTTTTTTTCCTTTTTTCTTCTTTCTCTCCCTCTCCTTCTCCCTCCCTCTCTCTCTCTTCTGACTTTCTCTTTCCTTCTTAAATCAGCGTTGTGTTGTTTGGAAGGTTTGTAATGGTAAAAGGCAGAAAACCCCTGTGAAGGGTGTCTTTCAGGACAGTTCAAAGAGGAACAGTCAGGAGGCAGATCAAGCCCATAAAGGAGTACAAAGAATTAGGGCGATTTAGCACGTCTCAGGTGCTTTTAGGCCAGAGAGTGAGAGACAGTTACATAGACATCCAATTTTGCAGAGATTGTAGATCATCCTAACAGGGAATCAGTAAAGAAAGAGTTTGAGTATAGGAAACCTTTGACTATTTACCATTTCAGTTCTTATGTTTTGAAGGACAGATGGATTGAACGAGCAAAAATTAGGTTACACAATTTGAGATTGCTTTAAATCAGCTGTGATGCTGAGGATACATAATTTTCAGAGGAGAGCTGTCCCTGGGGACAGGTCCCCAGATTAGGCATAATGCCAGAGGTTTGTGAGGAGTGCTGTACCTGGGACAGATCCTCAGATTAGACATAATGCCAGATGTTTGTGAGTTTGGAGGAGGAGAGCTGTCCTCAGGACAGGTCCTGCCTCTTTAATGAGGTAAAAGAGCCAAGGCAATCCTTGGGCGCCTCAGGGATTGATTGGACCTTCACCTCAGAGGGGTAGTTTTTTGCAGTTGAGTATTGAAGCCGGTGTTGGATGTATTCAGATTTAAATGGCAAATTGCCTTCGATCTTTGGGACCAGAGTAATAGAACAGAGAGGGGAAAAGGACGAGGCAGAGAAGAAGTTTGGCCTACTTCAGAGGGTACAAGCCAGACTAATACCTGGGCAGGCTTTTGCTCTGCTTACGTAGCAATGAGACCACGAAAGCCACTCCTCCTGAGAAACTAATAAAGCTGAGAAAGGACAGGATCTGATCAGCAGTTTGAGGAGCCTTGAGGCTTTCAATGGCTATGTGCCGATTGACTGTTAGACTTCTAGTGGTGGGAGTTCACTGAAAGCTGATATATGTGACTGTAAGGAGAGACAGTTGGACCTTGAAAGAGGATATTCTGTATCCTTTGGAGGCCAAGAAGTTTGGGCAGTGTGAGTGTGGGACTGCACAACAAAAGATTACTTATTTATTTAGGGATAAGAAGTTTATTAGAAAGTAGGCAAGTAATGATGGGTTCTAAACTTCTGCAATGTTCTGCAGAGACAGGGAATGGGGTTTATAAGGAAAAAAGGAGTTCTTTAGAGTCATGAAAACAGCTTGGTAGTGAGAGGCTACAGATGACGTGGAAGGATACTATATGATAGGGTTGACAGTGCCTGGTGAGTGATAAGAGACTTGGAGGGAAGACTATTAATCCCTATTACTGAGACCTGGGTAGGGAAAACAGAATCCGAACCAGAAAGGAAACTGGTTTGCTTGGTACCTGAAGGTTACCTTGGGAGCTTTGCAGGAGTGGTGAGGGTTGTTGAACCTGGGCATCTTCAGTGTTCAGTGGCCAGGACTCAGAGATCAGCCAGGGTGGGAACTGAGTCTGCTGAATCGACTATTCTTCCAAAGACTTGGCTTAGAAGAGGAGCCTGTGTTCTAATGACCTGTGTTCCACAGATAGGACAAGGCTCGGTTTTGGAGGGTTAACATAGTCGCTAACTTTAATGGCCTTTTTTGCCACACTTGGAGCAAGTACCCAGAGGTGAAGAGCAGGTGTTTTCCAATTTGTCACCACTGCTGTAAGGCAACTATATTTGCAGAGTTGCTTTCTGTTAGGCACGAGTTTTTTCTGCCAGTTCTTCTCGGGCATTGGACCTTTAAAGGCCTGCCAGGTCTCAAATAGGGTGTTTGGAGGCGAGTGGGGTGTTTTGAGGTAGTTTTAGTTTTTTTTCTCTGTATGCTTTGGGGTAGCAGTGAGAACTTGGTGTTCACTTTGGTATTTTTCTTTGCTCTGGGAACTTTTCCTAGTGGGACAGGGGAGGGGCTCTGTCTGAGCTGATACATAAGCGAGGAAAGCAGGAGTCTAGAGGTTTGGCGAATTTACCTGTGTTTTTGCTGCTGATGTGATCATAGGCAGTAGTTGATGGTTTAAGAGAAGGAAGGTGAAGGAAGAGAGTGGATGTAAGGAAACTTTTCTGAAAGGCTGGAGAGAGAAGAGAAGGCAGCAGGACGGGCTGCATCTGAGGGAGAATTGGAAAGGGCTTCCTGTGGTGAGGCGATATTTGCATTTGACTGAGTTAGGAAAACAGAGGCTGTAAGGGGTTTGCAGGATTAAAGGTGATTGAGTTTACAGCAGTTAGAGATATAGAAAGATGTCGTTTTTGAATGTGAGAGGGACTTTTAACGTTTGTAACTTTCAAAGAGAACATAGGAGGAGTGGAGTAGGAATGCCTGAGTCTGGATTGGTTGGGATAGAAGAGGGCTGGGCAACTGGAAAGCAAAGAGGTTTAGCTTGGCAGGATCATGTATCCTTGGTAACAGATGATGTAAGAGGTGGGATAGGAATGGCTGAGTTTTGATTGGTTAGGATGAAAAGGGAGGGCGAAGTTTCAGACAAAGAGATCTAGCTTTGGCGTGAATTTGGGCAGTTTTTGGAAGAGGTGGAGGCTGGGACAGAGAGGAGAGTATGGGAGTGAAACAAAAGAAACAAAGTCCACTGGCAGAAAATGTTTAGATGCCAAACTAAAGATTTTATTCTTAGGCCACTGAGAGTTATTACTTAACTGGTATTGTGGCTATTCCGTTACAGAAAAAGGATCAGTTTTCTTGAGGTAGAAGTCCTCAGCTAGACCCAAGTTTGAAAGATTTGAAAGCAGGCAGCTCAAGGGGCTGTCCCTTAGGATTTTGGACGTTTGATTTCCCATGTTTCTTGGATCTGCAGGGGAGACAACCAGGATTACAGGGAATCCCTTGCAAAGGAGTCTCCAGAACAGAGAGGCTATGGATGACGCAAGCGTCCTTGAGAGATCAATAGCCCAGAAGAAACTTTTCAGTAAAAGTTTCTCAGATGACACTCCTGACACAGATCTGTGATTGACAGGACAGAGCACCAGTGTGTGGAACTGGGCACCAGTGTGCCAAACAGGGGGTCCAGTAAGACCGGATCTTCCATGGGAGTTCACAATGTCCAGACTCAAAGGCACAGTTGTCTTTGAAGCAGGAGACTAGTCTGACTAGCTCTGAGGTGTTTCAAACAATTGGGTCAGCTGGGAAAAGAGAAGGGGAGGGGGGAATACAGAGACCAGAAAGACAAAAGGGGCAGAGATCTGGCCAGCAGCTGCCCACATAGAGTACAGGGGAGAGAGAGAGCAGCAGAACTTTACTTTACTGGTCAAGCATCTTGACACTGCACAGACTGACTGGTTTAGGAGAGAGTAAGGGGTGCCAGCACTCGCCCTAAGGTGGGGGGGGCGCAGCACCTTAACTCATCTACCATATGTTAGGGTAGCAGACTTAAAGAAGAAATCGGAGAGAATGAGAGAACACTTAATGCAGCTTTATTAAAGGGGCAAAGGGGAGCTCCTGGGTGAGTTCTTCATCCTGGAGAAGCAGAATGGGAAGTCACACTGTGAACTTACTGGGGAGGATTTTTATAAACAGAATCTTTAGGGAAGGACATATCATTCTGATTTAGAAGCCACCTGCTAGTTCAGCCAGGCAAGCAAAGCTGTTTGGTCTTCTTATCAGCAGCAGGTAAGGCCATCAGCATTTGAGTTCTGAATTCTTCATTCTTCTCTTTGGCCCCCTTTGCCTAGACTAACAGTCTTGACATGAAGCATTTTCTTTTCTTTTTTTCTTTTTTTGGTATGTTGTATTTTCATTTGTTTCAAAGAACTTTTATTTAATTATTTATTTAATTTATAACCCAATCATGTTCCAACAGAATATTATTCAGTTACCATATGGCTGATCTTGTAAGCTTTACCCTCTTGTAGTTAATTTCCGTTTTTATGATTGTGGTCTGAGAAAACATGCTGTATAATTTTAATGTTTTTTAAATTTAATGTTATAATTTTAATGTTATTTTAGTTTGTTGAGGTTTGCTTTGTGTCCTAATATATATCAACTTTGGGTAATGTACCATGTGCACTTGAGAAGAAAGGCTGCAGTACCCTGAATATATCTACAAGTTTAAGTTGGCTGATTGTAGTTTAGATCTTCTGCATCTTTGTTGAGTTTGTATTGAACTATCATTTGGTGATAGTAGTTTGGTGAAGTCTCCTACCACTATTGTGTTACTGTCTATTTCTTCAGTTCTGTTAACCATTGTTTTGTGTATTTTGCAGGTCTATAATTTGGTGCATAAATGTTGACCAAGGTTAGGTCTTCCTGATTTATTGTGTCTTTAATCAATATACAATGTCCATTCTTATCTTTGATGGTGGTTCTCATTCTGAAATCTATTTTATCAGAGATTAGTATTAATTGCAGTCAGGTCCGTAAATTGCTACCCAAAAGATCACTAATTCATGTCTGCAAATGGCAAGAGCGCTTTATTGTGCAGAGCTTTAGCATGCATGCAGGGTCCACCACTCAGTAGAAAATGGCGACCTAGCCATTAAAGCTTTTCCAAGTCTGAAGTGATTCCACTGTCGCAAGGCATGCTCTTCTGTGGGGGTGGGGGTGGGGGTGGGGGTAGGGGTGGTGGTGTGTGTGTGTTTTAAAATAGGTGTGTGAAAAATATCTGGGGGGATTTTAAGATTTAGAGAAAGCATTTAATTGAAATTTAGCATCAGATTAAGATATAAAGTGTGATCTTAGTACAGAAGTGTTAAAATAGAGTTAAAAGCTCAAGGTTCTATATTAGCTTTGTGCACATCTGATTTGTTGTTGTTATGTACTGTCTAGTCAGAATTGACTCATAGCTGACCCTCAAGAGGGTTTTAAGCAGCAGCAAATCACATGCCTATCTTTCTTGAGCGGAGCAACTGATGAATTTAAACCAGGTACCTTTGGGTTGGCAGCACAGCTCCTTACCACTAGGCTACCAGAGAAACAATGTTCATATATGTACCCCCAGGGAAAAGAAAGTTCTCCTGCTCTCAGCTGTAACCCTCTCTCTCCTAGGCCTGGGATGATGATGTGGAGCGGTTTCAGAAAATTTTCAGACACCCACAGAATGTGCAGCTGAAGGTGGTTGCTGGAAACCATGACGTTGGTTTCCACTATCAGTAAGTGCTTCCCTCCAGCATTGCTAATGAGCCCACTGCTTTTGAGTGAGTTTTGACTCATGGTAACATGGTAACTCAGAGTTGAATATGGTGTTAAAACTATAATCTCTATGTAAGTGGAATGACACATCTTTCACCCTCAAGCTACTGATTTTATTTAGCAGATGAGCACTGACTTAACTGCTGGGCCACCAGGGCTCCTATACCCTCAGGAGAGCTCTGCTTAACTATCATTTTAGATCTGTTGATCTGTGCTGTGCTGAGGCAGTATGCTTTCCTCAATAGGTGTTTGGAATATAAGCTCGATAATGGCAAAGATTTTGTCTGGTGAAAGTATTTGCTGAATGAATGAGTTGATTCCTTGGGAAGTAAGTTACTTGAAATTCCCATTTCATGCCAATTATAATACTTGGGAACCAGAAGTTTTAAAACAAGACTCTTTAGATTTTAATAGCTAACATTTATTGGGTGCTGGTTTAAGTTCTTTACTTCCATATGTTCACTTATGAAACCCTTACCATGATCCTGTTCTTTTGTCTCTTGGATCTGTGGTGGAGATGAGGCCCAGGAGGGTTAAGTAGCTTCTCTGTACAAGTCCTGAAAGTTACCTTCCTTGTTCATAATAACTCTAAGAGGTCTTAAAATGTCTTGTTCTGAAAGATGCTTCTTTTTACAATTGAATGTAGGATGAGTACATACAGAGTTAAACGATTTGAGAAGGCTTTCAAGTCTGAAAAGCTGTTTTCTTGGAAAGGAATTAAGTGAGTATTATATGTGAATTCTTATGAAGACTGAGTCCTTGAGAACTTAATTTAGAAAAGACGGCCTGTTCTTCCTGGCTTATTTGGCCATTTCTGGTTATCACAACAGGAAGTTATAGATGGGAAATCCCAGGCCCCCATCATAATTGTCCACAGTGCCTTAGCTCAGTTACTGAGGAGTTTCAGTCATTCTATCTGTACTGGTTCTGGATGGTATGCATGCTGCCTACAATTGTGTAAAGCAGCATTTTCTGTTTACAGTTTGTTCATTCCACTTTATGAGGGATGACACAGGTGGTGGTGCTGCAGGGCTTGGCAGCCAGTGTGCACACCAGACCTTCGCAGTGGCAGCCATTCCTCATCCCCTCATGGAGCAGGCCAAGGAAATCCAGCTGATGCACCGGGCACCTGTGGTGGGCATCCTGGTGCTGGACGGACACAATGTGCCCCTCCCAGAGCCCCTGGAGGTCGCCCATGACCTGTCCAAGAGTCCTGACATGCAGGGAAGCCACCAGCTTCTGGTCGTGTCCGAGGAGCAGTTGAAGGTGTTTACACTACCCACGGTCAATGCCAAGCTGAAGCTAAAGCTTACGGCCCTGGAGGGCTCTCGGGTGCGGAGGGTCAGCGTGGCCCATTTCAGTAGCCGGCGGACCGAGGACTACGGGGAGCACCACCTGGCCATCCTGACGAACATGGGTGATGTCCAGGTGGTCTCCCTGCCCCTGCTCAAGCCCCAGGTGCGCTTCAGCTGCATCCACCGGGAGGACGTCAGTGGCATCGCCTCCTGTGTCTTCACCAAATAAGGCCAAGGTTTCTACCTGATCTCCCCCTCGGAGTTTGAGCGCTTCTCTCTCTTCACCAAGTGGCTAGTTGAGCCGCGGTGTCTGGTGGAATCGACAGACGCCAGAAAACACAACTGCCCCCGCAACGGGGGAGGTCCTGAAACAACGATGACTCCAGCCAGGAACTCAGGGAGCCAGAATGACCAAGAGGAGAGATCGCCCGGCTTGGTGATGGAACACGCACTGCTCAATGACGAGAAGGTCCTGAAGGAGATCCAGAGCACGCTGGAGGCCGACCGAGTGAGTCATGGAGATTGGCAATCTCGCAAAGTGGCAGTGGGGTACAGACTCAGCAACGGAGGAGAATGGGCCACGAGTGTCCGAGGTGCTACTGACCACACCACACACTACTGAGGTCCGTCCTGGGACTACCCCCCAACTCCGGACCGGCCAAGGACTGAGCCATGCGGGGCACCCTGACTCCCACCTGCTGCTGCTCCTGGCTTCAAGTGGGGAGACCCTAGGCCTGGGGCCGCCCTCCCGGGCCCCTCCGTCTCTGTCTCTTTGTCAAAGTTGCACAGTTTTTATCCTCCCACACACATTTTTTTTTATTTTATTTTGTAGTGGGCTGGGTTTTAAATTATAATGTTGAATTGCCAAAAAAAAAAAAAAAGAACAGTGCACCCTCACTTGCCCAGAGCACCACCTGTCCCCTTTGCTGTGGACACTTCTGTTCCCTTGGTGCATATTACTGCTGTTTAGACATAAGTAAGCAGTTAAAGATGTGAGAAGAGAGTTTTGGCCATGACAGCTCATAATGAATTCTATGTAAAACATGAGAAAGGAAGAGTCTACAGGTAATGAGCATCTCGTCCTTCTCTGACCGCTGGGACACTGTATCTGATACTAGGAATTCTCTTCCCTGAGTTGTAAAGAAGACATTTTGTGGTTTGAAGTGTATTCCCTTAAGTGTAGAGTTGAGGAAACTTTAAAATGCCTTAGTTCTATTTCAGATCATTGATTAGTCTGTCTAGAAAAAATGGTTTCAATTTCAAGCATTCTTTACTTTCTTCATGCCCTGTTGGTATGTGCTTCAGAAAACATGCTCAACAGGAGCCTCTTAAAAAACAGAGCTGAGGTGGAGAGTTCAGTTTGTTGTTATCTTGGTTCTGGCTCCTCCACCCCATTGTGGAGTGGAGAGCCTGTCCTCATCTGGTGTGTGGTGTGTGTGGCATGGCCACCAGACTATTAACCATGCTGCATTCTCCAGTGGCAGGCTCTGTTCTGAGCACATTGCTGTGTTATTTTGTTCTTCACAACAAACCAATGATGTGAGCAGGCTGTTGTCCCTGTTTTCACAGGCCAGGCACAAGGAGGTTAAGTGCCCAGGAACACGTGATTTAAACTGTTCTGATTGTGCTCTGTTCTGACCACAGTGCTCTATAACTGGAATTTCTAACAAGTTTAATTTTAACAATCCTTTTAACACGTTGGGGACTTAACTCCTAGTAGTGCATTTTGTCATTTCTCCATGTACTTAAAACAGAAAATGGGTCTAAGTGTGCTGGGGGATGGTCTGTGCACATTCTGTTGCTTTGTTTTCACTTTAAGGGAAAAATACTACAAGGGAGCAAGCATATTTGGTACAATGGCCCTGACTGTCTTCCTCTTGGCTTCAGTTTTGTGATGGTGAACAGTGTTGCTCTGGAGGGGGACGGCTGTAGCATTTGCTCTGAAACAGAAGCTGAACTCATCAAAATTTCTCACAAACTGAATTGTTCCCGAAAGGTAGGGGACCCAGGCTCCCAGTGCCTCCTGTCCTGTCAGTGAGGAGCTTGTTTGGCAGCTCTTGCCGCCTCACTATGTGGATGTGGGCTGGGGCTGATGCACTGCTCTGTCCCACAGCTGGTGCCTCCCTCCAGCCGCTGTGGAGCTGAACAGGCCCTCCCATCCTCGGCACCAGTCCTGCTGCAGGTGAGGGGCTGGGGTGCCTGCCACTTCTGGGCTCAGAACTGGGTTCCTGCACTCATCTCCCTCTCTCTTTAAACAGCATTATCCACTTTACCGCACAAGTGATGCCAACTGCTCTGGGGAAGATGCAGCTCCTCCAGAGGAGAGGAACATCCCGTTCAAGGAAAAATACGATGTGCTTTCTCAGGAGGCGTCACACAAGGTTTGCTGGTGTACCATGACAGTGCACAGTGTGGTGGGTTAACATTGACTGGTGTGTAAACAAAAACAACAGATTTTAATCGAAAGATTGATCATTACCAGAGTTAGCAGCTGGAAGATAAGGGGCAAGGTGTTGGCAATATCTTAGATTTTTATCTCATTTTCTTTTCCTTTTCTTTCAGTAAATCGGCTTTCTCTGCTTTATTAAATCAGTTATATTCTCAACTCTTCTTTATATGTGGAAATGTGAATGGCTCTAAGATAGGAATTTTTAGGGATTTGATTAAAATGTGCATATATGCATAAATCTGGAGGAGAATAGATTCTTCCTAAGAGTTGGGAGACAGGCAACCATTCCTATTTGACTGAGTGAACTAAGTGATGGCAGACCAAGTGAGCTTGTCAGTGATGGCCTCTTTGCCCCACCTGTGTCCTGTAGCTCCTGTGGTGGCTCCAGCCCCGCCTGATCCTCAGTGGCCATACACACAGTGCCTGTGAAGTGACTCATGGTGATGGAGTGCCTGAAGTCAGCATCCCGTCCTTCAGTTGGAGGAACAGAAACAACCCCAGTTTCATTATGGTAATATGAACGTTTATTTTTGTCTGGAAGCTTTCTTAAGTAAGACGTCAACACCAGTAATCAACTATTTAATTGCTGTAATCTGTATATAAAAGCCAAACACACTATCCCATGCACACCCTCTGAGACACTGCCCCTTGCTGAACACCTCCTGGAGTACACAGAAGAACATTCTGGGTGATTTACGTGCTTTGAATGAGGAAGATTTTACAGAGGGGTATTTAATCTTTCAGGGTGGATACAGTGGCCTTGCATGTTTGATCTTGTGAAGCAGAAAGAGAGAAAGTGAGAGAGAGAAAGAGAAAGAGTGTGTGTGTGGTGTGTGTGTGTGTGTGTGTGTGTAAAAGAGAGAGAGAGAGCTAGAGAGTGAGCAAACGTTAGTGTGTTAGAGTATGTCTGTGAAGAGTGTGTATGTGTAAGAGCGCTAGGTTAGGGGGAAAAGAAGTCCTCACCAAAACGTAGCTTCTTCCTGCTTTCTTTTTCAGGGTAGCATAACCTCCACAGATTATTCCCTCTCAAAATGCCACCTTCCACTGGAGGACACAGTCCTGGCCACCTACTGCGGAGCAGTGGTGGTCCTCCTGGCCCTCATATTGGCTCATTTTGAGCTATTAGCTTTGCCTTTGCTTTTTGGTTGGAACCTGCTTAGGAAGTATAAAGTTATGTAAAAAAGCATTCAGAAGCTACACTGCCATCCTGAAGACATGTGGTTCAAGGCCACCAGCCCTTCCATAGGAGAAAGATAAGCAATGAGCATTCTCCTGTGCAATTAACTGCCTCTGAAAACCCACTGGGGGGTCAGCTGTGGGTCAATTCCAACCCAGCTGAACTCAACAACAAGTCAGTGTCAAAGCCAGAGAAACCAAACTCAGGGCAGTCCTCATGTCAGAAGCAAGTAGATCATAAGCTGGCCATCTTTTTGCAAATCGTCACGATTCTGAACCATAAGTGTGAGTCAAGTCACTGCAGAAAACAGAATTGATTGAATGCTTCCTCATGCTATAAAAATGGAACATGTACTCTATATCAAATTTATTTTGTCAGTTTTACCAAATCTATATATAATCAAAGACTGTATTTGTACAGTATGTAAATGCTCTAAAGTCATCATTTGCATGCATTATGTGGTTCTAATGACCCAAGGGGTCTTCGGCAGACACCGAGGGATGATGTATTTATAGGAACATTGGGTTTGCTCTGCCCTCCTATCAAGTGGCCCAAAGTCCTGTATGTTAGAAAGCTGTACACTTAAATAAAAGGTACAGGTACTATAAGCAGAAACAAATTGTCTTCATAGACCTTTTATTTGTGTTAAATTGAGGGAATTAGACTTGTAAATTGAGGGAATTAGACTTTTAAACAGGTGTGAATTTTCTCTCTACCAGACCAAATGGTTATATCTAAATTGAATATTTGTAATAATGAAAAGAAACTTTGAAAATAGAATAGGAAATGGCTCGTGATATGTAAAAATAATCAAGTCTGGCAATTCTGTGATAGATAAAATGTATTCTTGTTGCTCTTCAGAGTTTGGCTTTTTCTTTAATCAAACTTTTAAATATGAAGTTTAGTTAGGGGGTTTCTAGGTTTTACATTTAAAGTGTAAGGGGAGTTGAAAAGAGGTCTCAGTTCACTTGAAAGCTTTATGAAACAAGTAAGATGAGAGGAATGATAAGACAGTGATGTGTTTATAAAGACTTGTGAAATGTGGATTTAGTAAATGTTAAACCTTAAACCAAGAGACTTAAAAAGAAATGAATGAAGAGATATCATTTGTCCTCTCTCTGGATCTGTGCTCCTAGAAACGTCATTTTGAACAATTTTATAGTGTGAGACTCTCGAGACTGTGGGTCGGGACAAAGCATAGTGCCCCACTTTGGTGGTAATTCTTGTTTTATACTGTGCCCTAACTATTGGCACAGCATCTGTACAACTTTTTAAAGTGTGAGAGATAGCCATATATTTTTGTCTTTATACATCAAATGTTTTCTAATGTTTCTTCAAAGGACAGAGGATGATAGCATTCTTTGACTCTTAGGCAGAGGCAGATGTTGCCACCTTTTGCCTGTTTTTGCTGTTTGCATTTCTGTGGCTGCATGAACAGTCCATTACTAAAGGGCTGTTTGACTTGGGGAAATGTATAAAAGTCTGTAAATAGCAAAGTGAGAAGCAGACGTTGTCTGGAAAGAAAAAACTCCTTGGCTTCCTGGAAACATCAGATTCCCATTTGTACACTTGAGTAGATGTGCAGGTTTAAAACCAAGTCAGGTAGCTGCCACAGCATCTGACTGTGGAAAAATGTTAGTGTTAATGGGAGGAAATAACAATTTTTTTTCTTACCAAGGAGTATATTTTTAAATGTACCAACTTGATAAAATATACAACTTCATTCCCTTTTTCGGAGCAAGCAGTACATAATGTTGGTACTAAGCTGTTGAGCACAATTAAAATATCTTTTACAAGTATGGCCATAACCAAGGCACAGAGATCTACAAGGAGTCGTCTTTAGTAGTTATACAAAAGAATATTACACCTTAGGATCTGTACAGTGTGATAACCCAGAAAGAAAACGCAAGAAGACTGTGGAAGAAGAGCCTTGTCCTAGTTTAGTGATGTTTGGAGAATCATTTTTAGGACAGATTTTATAGCCCAGATGTATTACAAGGGTGTGAGGCTGGCAGAAACTCTAATAATATATGACCAGACATTTTCCCTTCACTGCCACAGGGGGTCGACTCTTAAGTCCTGGTGCAGGTTAGCTGGGGAGTCTGCAGCTCTATAATGCTAAGCTCTCCCTACATTCATTCCTCGAAGCACCTAAAGTCATGCTCTGCTGGAAATTTCTCCCTCTTTCTCTGATTATTTCTGATGAATCCACAAGTGAACTAATGGAGGCATAAGAGGAGCCCTCACTCATTGTCCCTGGACAAGAGTTGATGTTTAGACAACATAAATTGGTGGAGTTCCAGGATGTTTTGGAAACAAAAGCTACAAAACCAAACCTGAAGGTAACAGAGGTAGCCAGAGGCTTGGTGGTCACTCTGGATATACACACAGCAGGTAGGACAGCAGCAGGACAAGGCTCGGTGGGCATTATTTCTACCTGGCATGGAGCTGACGGGTGCAGTCCTGAAATGTCTCGTGAAGGGTGGAGACGAGAGCAGCTGGTGGAGCTGAGTGGCCTCACAGGAGCTCGTACTGCTTGAGGTGCATCCTCTGGATGATGTCTCGGCAGTCGTTGAACACTCGGCGGATGTTCTCCGTGTCCACAGCGCAAGTGAAGTGTGGGTAGCAGTAGTGCTTGCCATCACCAGTGGCTGTGCTGATCCTCTGCAAAAAAGAAATGTGGTATGGGCCTTTCGCCACCATGCCATTCCCAGACTCATGCTTGCAGGGGTGACGCCTGGATTAAAGACTAGAGGATTTTGTTTTGTAGGTTTTACAGAAGCAGCCCTGGTGGCATAGCATGTTAGACTGCTAACCGTGAGGTTGGCAGGTCACACAGTGTACGTAGCAGCTGCTGTTGTGTACCATCAAGTCGGAACCAACCCATGGCTGGCCCTCCAGCAGGTTTTTAGAGGCAGTAAATTGCATAGGAGGAGCTAGCCCCTCTTTCTTCCTCAGAGCTGGTGGATTCAAATTGCGTACCTCCCCATTGGCAGCACAGTTGCTTACCACCAAACCACTAGAGCTTACATGTTAGCGTACATAACAGTTTAATACTGAACACTGTAATGGAAATTTCAACCTTAATCTATCCACAACCTAGGAGTTCAGTTAGAATAGATTTAATAGACTGCCACTAAAAGTAGAATTCAAGGTAAGATTTTCCCAGAAATGAGGTCTACTCCAGCACTGTTCAACAGAATTTTCTACAGTGGAAAAGTTTGGTATTTTCCCTGTTCAACAAAGTCATTGGAAGACACACATTGGGAAACACATGGCTGAATGGTCTCAGTCTTGACTCAGCAGTACACCTTAGGATTGCATGCTTCTGTACTTTGTAAAGCTCAAATATCAGATGGTCCTCTCCTTCCACTTGATCGCTGGGACCCTTGGACTTCCTCTTTCTATCCCCTCTACTCCTGCCCCATCTTTTTTGGCATGATGCCATTTTTAGTTGCTTCTCTGGTCTCTCCTTCCCCCCCCCCCCCCCCCCAAAAAAAAGTATCCTTTGCTTTTGGATGCTGAGATGACAGAAAGGATACGGTGAGCATGATCGTGACTTAGGAAAGTCCTTGCTGAGGGACGGATTTGTTGTCAGCAATAGCTGGGCTTCTCTTGAATAGTATTTTTTCTTTTAATCTTACAGAGGCATGCATGGCTTCTATTTCTTTTTAACCTCAAAACCCCAGGTGAGTCACTGGCATATACCTAGTAAATTCTTAGCACATGAATGAAAATAGGCTTTCCTCTAATATTCTGAGTGGTCATACTTCAGGAGCAACAGACATTGTGGGGGTGTGGGGTGGGGATGGAGTTCTTAAAAATTTCTTACAAACAGCAAACTTCAAACTCCTGATTTCCCACTGATTTCTATTAAAGATAACATAAATAGAATTGTGTCGATAAACTAAACAGCCCCAGATTCCTTGGGCCCCCTGGTGGCAGATTATGTTAAGGGAAAAGGAATCCTTTCTTAAAATAGTTAGAAACAAGCCAGGATCACCTGGCTCTCTGACACTGAGCAGAGTTAGTGATAGCTGCATCCTCACAATCACCATCTTCTACTTTAAAAGGCTCAGGATGCCCACTCTGAAGTTAGCTTGCCTGTGGCTGAGCTCTGGTCTGGTCAGCAGCTGCTCTCCAGTTGGAGGGAGATGACCACCTTGCACGTTCAGACTGAATCTCTGCTTTAGGAATGATTCATACCCTCTCTCAAGTGAGGAGGCAGCCTCAAATAGGTCACTCTGGAGGTGCCCTCCTTCTGCCATGGCTGTCACTAACTATGGACAGAGAAACAAGTGGCCATTCCTCATAGTGTCTCACCATGTCTTCTCCCAGCAGCACCTGCTCTTCCTCAAGATAGCATGCTCTATCACTGGGCCTCTTCTTCACTTATAATCTTCATTCTCTACACTCCACCCATATTATCAGTGGTGCTGCTACACCCAAGACTTGCTCCTGCACAGACTTTTAAGTTAATGAGCAGCAGTTCTGCCACATGCCTGGCTACCTCTAGCTCTCGAGTGAGATTCAATTCCAATACCAGAATCTCAGAACACTCACTGCCCTAGGCCCATTGCTCAATTGAAGATGGACGTGTCTGTCTGATCACCCTGATATGTAGGGTGCACAAAAGCAGGTTTTGCATGTTGTTATTGTGAGTGGTTTCTCTGCAGTTTGAATGGGGACAACAAGAAGTTTCTTTTAAGGGGTGGAGCATGGCTCAAATTCTAGTTTGTTCTAAAAGTCCAACATTTGCACATCTTGTTATTCTGATAACAGTATAAATACTGGACATTTAGGTCAAAGATTAGAATCTAAGCCAACCTAATCACCCTAAAATGGATGGTCCTGCTCCTACCATACCATTCAAACTCTAAGAGAAGCTTTTGTTTACTGATCTAAGATTTGGAGATTCAAAGCCTCCCACTGGTGCCAAATGGGGGGGGGGACAAAACTAGAAAAAAGGTTGACAATAAGATTCCATTCAAATTACATCCAAGAAACTCACTCTAGGAAGGGTTACCCTGGCACACTGCAGACTAGACTTGGCTTACTCACTGGAGACTCAATGCAATGTGCATCAGGGTAGTAGAGGCTCTGAGAAGTTCTGCAATAAAGAATCCCACCTCACTGTTACACAGCATTTCCCTGGTACTACTGGAAACTTCCTGGAGCACTTGTGTTTCTGAGAAATTTTTTTTTCTCTTCGGAGGGGGAAGCGAGCTGAGAAATCATTTTAAGGAACATCTGAGACTTCCCTCTCTTATTGTCACTACATCTTAGGTCAAAATGGAATGAAAGGGACGATCCGCATGGCTCCTGAACTGGGGAGAAGGCAAAGGGAGGTGCTCCTGAGAGCAGCAAGAGGTCACCAGGCTGCAGTGTCCTGGCTGGGCAAGGCCACAAGCCTCCAGTCAGGCACATGCTTCAGAAATGTCAGCCAGCAGACACTTGGTGGCCAATACTGCGTGCAAACAAAACAGATATGGGGAAAGACTATAACCCTGATGCACACCTTTCTTAATTTTAAACCATGCAGTGTCCCCTTGTTCTATTTGAATAACTGCTTCCTGGTCTGTCTCTCAGTTTTGAGGGAAGATTAAATGAGATCAGGTAAAATTAATACATGTAGAAAATGCAAACAGCAATCTAGTTCCTCAGTGGTAGGATATCTGTAGAAGTTATTTGTACCATTCTACTTCCTATGTTTGTTTGAAGCCGTATCACAGCAACAAAAATTGAAAATAGAGACAATTTCAGAACCTGAGCTGGTCCACTCTGATACTGACCTGTACAGTTTCCCCAGGAGCAGGTATGGTCCCAAAATGTGGAAGTAATAGGGCAGATTTGATGAAGGCCCTCTTGGGCACAAAAGCAGACTGTCCCTACCTTATACAAGGCTGTTCCCCCCGGGGGGAATCTGTCTCCTGAGCAAGCACGGAATCCTGCCTACTGCCCAGAAGCTGTGTGGCCTAGGGGAGACCCCGGCCTCTGAATGGCATCTCATGGTATGTTCTGTATTCACCCAATCTCTGAATCTCTCTACTCAGTGATGAGAAGACGGTGGCCCTGTTGTTGTTAGGTATCATTGACTGGGCTCTGACCTATAGGGACTCAAATAAAAACTAAACCCTCCTCTGATCCTGTGCCATCCTCACTATTTTATGGCATTATTAAGCCCATTGTATCAATCACTGTGTTAATACACCTGCTTCAATGCCTTCCTCTCTTGCTATTTTTCCAAGCAAGATATCTCTGTCCAGGGCTTGGTCTTTCCTGATACCATGGCCAAAGTATGTGAAATAAAGTCTTACCATTCTTGCTTCTAAGAAGCACTTTGGCATCACTTATTGGTGGTTGTTGTCATGTGCCATCGAGTCTCTTGTGACTCATAGTGACCCTATGTACAAAAAGCCCTAAATGCCAGTCTATCCTGTGCCAACCTAGCCATCTCAAACACATTCATTCCCACCACTCCAATCACAGAATCAATCCATCTCATCGAAGGGCTCCCTCTCCTGCACCACCCCTCCACTCTGCCAAACATGATGTCCCTCTCCAAGGACCAGTCCTTCCTTGCAACATGCCCAAAGTATGTCAGATGAAGCTTCAGAATCCTTGACTCCAAGGAGCATTCTGGCTTCATCCTCTCCAGGACAAACCTGTTTGTTCTCCTAGCAGTCCATGGTATATTCAACACGCTTCTCCAGCACCATGGTACATTCAGTATTATTTGCCAGCATTACAATTCAAAAGCATCACCTCTTTTTTGACCTTCATTATTTACTGTCCAGTGTTCACATATATATGAAGCAATGGCTTGCGTCAGTTACATTCTGATCTTCAAAATTACATCCTTGCTCTTTAGCACTTTAAAGAGATCCTCCAGAAGTTTCTCTTCCCTCATTAATCTATCCAGTGTTTTCCAAAACCCTATGGTCTCCATGAATATGTTGCTGTTGTTGTGTGCCATCGAGTTGCTTGCGACTCATAGCGGCATAGGTACAAGAGCCCTAAATGCCGTTCTATCCTGTGCCAATCTTGCTGTCTCAAACACATTCATTCCCACCACTCCATTCACAGAATCGATCCATCTCATCGAGGGTCTTCCTCTCCTGCGCCGTCCTCTCCCAAACATGATGTCCCTCTCCAAGGACCAGTCCTTCCTTGCAACATGCCCAAAGTATGTCAGATGAAGCTTCAGAATCCTTGACTCCAGGGAGCATTCTGGTTTCACCTTCTCCAGGACAAACCTGTTTGTTCTCCTAGCAGTCCATGGTATATTCAACACTCTTCTCCAGCACCACAACTCACAGGCATCAATTCTCTTTCTATCATCCCTATTCACTGTCCAACTCTCCGATGCATAGCATGTAATTGCAAAGACTATAGCCTAGATCAGGTGCACCTTAGTCTCCAGCCTGATATCGTTGTAATTCAGTACTCTTGAGAGGTCCCTCACAGCTGACTCCCAATGCAATTCGTCTCCTGATTTCCTGGCTGCTGTTACCAAGAGTGTTGACTGTGGAGCCAAGCAAACGAAAACTGTTAACTATCTCAATCTCTTCACCATCCATACTGATGCTGCCAATTGGCCCAGATATAATAAGGGATACTATTAAAGTCACCAACTTGAGGGAGTAAGGGGCATGGTGAGCAAATTCCACCTCTGCTATTAACTCTGTGGAAAGGATAAATGTAAATCCAGTTCCCACCTGGAAAAAGGGCCAGTACTAACTTTCACACTTCTTCATCCTTGTCACAACCCACTTCAAGTGGTACTCACCCTCATGCCCAGCTGCTCATTGTGTTGTCTTGGCTCATAAGCTCGGGAATAAGAATGGTTCCCTCTACTTCAGACAAGATGACCCCTTCTTTCTTTCTCTCATCCTTAGACACTGGGGGCCAGGCCATAACACAAGTTAAAAGGAAACAGTCCTTAAGGCTGAAATAGGCATACTCCAGTTTCTGCTGATTCTCCTTGATGTTGTAGATTCAGAAACTCCCTGGAACAACTCAGAATTAATGAAGCATATGTCACACCAATTTATTATGACCAGAAAGTATACAAATGAAGAAGACTGGCCAAAGTCCAAGGGGAATCCAAGAACAGATCCAGGCCCTCATGTATTTACTCTCCTAAGAGAAGAATTTTGCTCTCCCTCAACCAGGAAGTTCTAGTAAATATCAGTGAACCCTTTATTGACCTTTTCACCTAACCATGATCAATTTTATCACGCTCCATGAGGCTTAGTATTGGGCCTGCAAAAGGGTGGGTGGGGGGGCTCTGGACTCTAGAAACTGTAACAAGAGTCCAAACAGCTTTCTTCATTGTACAGTGAGGATGTATGTCATGTATGAACACAAATAACTCAAATGGGTAGACAGGAATCCATACCATTAAACTTACCCTCTGCCCAATTCTACCCCAGTGGTAAAATACAAGTTAGTATTGTGAACAGTCAACAAATACTTCTTTCATACCCTCCCCACCATTTAACACTCTATAGAGATGTGTGAAAGTTCATCTTCTGTAGTGGTGGTCCAAAGCAAGCAGAAACAAAGTATTTAGTGTGGCCTGACATATGCTATTATCTGGTCCTTGTGAGCACTTTAATTCTGAAAGGGGTGGGAAGGGTATTTCAGTGAGGTCATCTTGCCCTTTGGATTCTTCTGTGCTTGATCCCATTTGATTCTTAGTTCTCAGTTCAGAGCTGAGGCCCTCGCTGGGTTAGTCCAGGGTATATCCCAGTTCCATTCTCATTCCATGTACTTAGAATCACTTGTTGAGAGATGGAAAATGTTGGCCACTCTCTATTGTGTCTGTGACTGGTGGGACTGTCTTCAGCCTTCTCCATCTATTAAGATCTCTCAACTACTTCTTTAGTTTTGCTTTTCCATACTTTGGAGTGTGTGAAATGGGCGAGAGGGTAGGATCTTATGATGTTATTACTTAGTAGTCAAAAGTGTAAACAGATCCATTCTCTGAACCCTAGTCCTTCATGAGGACTTTATCTCGGCATGGGTAGAGCATCATCATGTTATCAAAGACCTCAGATTCTCACTCCTTTACCCAGCTCCAGTATCTTAAATTGTTGTTGTTGATTGCTTTCCAGCTGAGCATGACTCATAGTAACCTTATAAACAAAAGGCCTGAAGCCTTTCTATAACTATTGACATTTCTGGAGGCATATTGTTTAGGAAGTGGATGCCACTCCTGCTTTTCATATCTTACATTATTTACTTATACACTTTATATTGTTGTTGTTGTTGTTAAGTGCCATCGAGTCTGGTATGACTCATAGCAACCCTATGAACAAAAGACCTGAACCCTGTTCTATAACTATCGTTTCTCTATTGTTTCTCTATAGTTTCCAGAGGCATGTGGTTTAGGAAGTGGATGCCAAACCTGAATCAATCTGGGAGTTCCACCAAACACTGCCCATGATGGGTAACCATTATACCATTATGGTGTTTGACACACCTATGGCATAGTTGTTCAGCATCACAGCAACTACAAGTTACTTTAGTACAGCAAATAGACGGAGCACTGCTAGACCACTCAGAAAGCATATCTTAATGTACATACTGTACATTACTCTAGTATCTTATATTATCCTCTTCAGATTCTCTAGCTAGTCTGAGAATGGATGAAAACTTCTCCAAAGTGTGTATGCTTCTGCTTCTGACTCTTGCTTTTGAAATCCAAAATCCAGGATGTCCTTCTTTTTTCTGACCAATTATACTTTTGCTGCTGGACAGGTTTGGGTGTACTTTTCCACAGAAGGAGTTACTAAGTAATAGAGCAGTTTTGAAGGAGAACACTTTGATTCATGTTACAGTGTCAAATGTATACAGAAGCGTTCCCTAAAGCCACTGGGTATATCATGGCTCCAGATGTTCAAACAGAAAATATCTTGAGAGACTGATAAAAGGTTTCAGGTGTTTTGGGTTTTGCAGAGGATCAAAAATATCTGGGCTACATGATAGCCTAGACTGAACATGCTGAAGCTCATCCCCTTGGTATTGGAATATATCCTTAGAGAATATTTTCACAGTTCACAACCTCATGTCTTTGAGGCTGTTGTCCAAATATTTGTGTCATTGTTAATTATTCATCAATATGTATGATTTTTTTTCCATCCTCTTTTTTTTAAATTTAGGTTGTTTATTTTTTATTTCAATGAACATCTGCAGAGATTTTGGGATTCCATTCATTCATTGTTGCACCCTTCTCCCCGCACAAACCCCTCCCCCCCCCCCGATTTGCTCCTCTCCTTGAAAAGCAAAAGAAAAACTCCCTCATTGGTACACAATCCCCCCCCGCACCTCCCCAAACCCCACCCCCTACCCCCAAATATAATCCACTCTGCAACCCTCATTGCATACTCCTACGATAAATATGTATGATTTTGAGACATTAAAAAAAAGAGATCCTTCTAGCAGATTTGCCCAAAGCAATGCCTCGTTTGATTTCTTGCATGCTGCTTCCATGGGTGTTGACTGTGGTTCCAAGTAAAATAAAGCTGTTAACAGCTTCATTCTTTTTCAGTGCAGCAGCTCATTTTATCATGTTGTTTACTGGTCCAGTTGTGAGACATTTTGTTTTCTTTATGCTGAGGTGTATAATTTATACAGTCATTGATGGACATTGGAGGATAGTCTTTGATCTTTTTCAGTAAGTGTTAATGAGTTCTCATGAGTCTTCCTTCAATCCTGAAACCATATTCTTCCTTATGTAGTCCAGATTCTAAGATTATTTGCTCAGTAAAGAGACTGAATTTTGTTCCTGTTAGATGCTGTTGAGTTCACTACAACTCATAGTAACCTATGACTATCGTATCAAAATCTTGCTGTATCCTGCCTCACAATTTCTACATGCTCAAGCCAGTGATACAGTCACTATATCAATCCATTAAGAGGCTATTTTTGTCAGCACAATGCCTCTTTTTCCCAAAATCTGTAGTCTCTTGACAACATACCCAAAGTATGAGATGAAATTTCCCCATTCTTGCCTCTAGACACATCCTGACTGCACTTCCTCCAAGACAGATTTATATTGGAATTTGAGAAGAATGGGAATTTCAGAACACTTACCATGCTCATGAAAAGCCTGTACATAAAACTAGAAGTAATCACTGTAACAGAATAAGGGAACACTGCATAGCTTAAAATCAGGAAAGGTGTGTGTCAGTGTTGTATCCTTTCTCCATAGCTGTTCAGCCTGTATACTTAGCAAATAATTTGATAAACTGGACAACATGAGAACAAAGTATGACATTAGGATTGGAGGAAGAATCATCAACAATATGCATCATGAAGATGACACAACATTACTTGCAGAAAGTAATGAAGACTTGAAATACTTACGGAAGAAGATCCAAAAGGCAATCCATATTGAAGACTAGAATAAAATTTTTAAAAACCCCCACAACCCCCCCCTCAGTAATTATCACATCTGGATCAATAGGCAACATCATGATAGTTGGAGGAAAGGTTGAAATTGCCAATTATTTAGTTTTACTTGGGTCCACCACGAACACACATTGCAACAGTGAAAAAAATCAAGAGTCATGTTACATTGGGCAAATCTACTTTCAAGGATCCCTTTCAAGTGTTAAAAAGCAAGACTGTTGGGGATAGCAGCCTGCGTAGAGGGGATACCAGAGAGTACTTTACGCTCCACAGAGACAGACCATCACAGCGTGATGCGAACAGTAGGATTTTGAATCAGAACTTTTGCTAATACATTATTTCAGAAGCTTTAAAAACCAGAGCCCTGCCTGCCTGCCCTGCAGCGGTCCCGCAGTGGTCCCACCGCCGACCCAGCAAAAGCTGGAATCCACGAGCTGAGCTGAGCTGCATTGAGACTCACCCGAAAGGAAAAAGGTTAGTGGGGAAATCGGCTGAATTCTCTTGAGCCCACTAAAACTTGGAGGGTCTGAGGTGCGGCGTAGACAATAGGAATGGAATCATAACTTTTGTTGAAACTTTTAGTATTGGAACTGTGGGAACAAAGCCGCGTGGACTCGGCAAAAACCAGAAGCCACTAGATGAGCTTCTAAGAGACCCATTTGAAAGGAGAAAACTTAGTGGGGCAATTGGCTTATTTTGCTTAAGCTCCACTAAGACCCAGTGGGTCTGTTGCATGACGTGGACAGTAGAAATTAGAATC